TCGTTACTTTAATAATACATCATTATGATAAGATGATCTTCAAAAATCAACCAATCATAATAAAGCCCGCTATGCTATGTTTCCTAAATCAGTAATTTTAATGATGAATAAATGCCTTACGTTTATCTTTTCAACCCAATATCGAATTCGTAACAGTAAATTACTGTAAATATTCCTTCTGCATTTCTCAGCTCAGCTCACTTTTAATAATAAATTAATACCTTTGATTCATTCTTTTCAATTCTATTCTATAGTCGTAAAAATAGAAACCTTTAGTAAGTACTAATTTTACCAGTAAGTTTTTTTCACTATTAACTATATACTTACGAATGAACACGGTCTACTAGACAAATAATATATAGCTTTTAGTAAATAAACACGTTAAAATAAAAGTTAGGCTAAGTATACAGATCTCGTCGCTGACCTTTTGGCAAAGGTGGAAATTCTGATTACTGGAAATCATTTCTACAGCGCGCGACTAATGTGAACATGAATTAAGGTCAGCGTTTATAAATCAGTGTCTTGAGCGATTGCACGTGAGGCTATTATAAAACTGACCAATCATACCACATATATAAATCACTATATATTACACTACGTAATAAGTTTTCTCTTTAAGTACTTATTATTTACCAGTTTTAATTCACATTAGTTAGTGTCAAATATATGCTTCCAACATAACCGTTCAAGAATGGAAAGTCGTAGTGAGGATTTCAGCTTAGAACATATTTAAGAAATTGGCAAAAGAGCGTAAATAGTTGATGTAACATCTTTGTATGAGATATTGACCAGTTCTAAGGAAAATTGGGGTTTTTGTCACTTGTGTACTGGTCAAGTAAGTATTTATATTTGGTCAAAGACTTTCATTTTTCAAATGATCATAATTATAATTAATGAATGTATTTGTTAAAGGAAGCAATTCCAGTGGGTATGGAGCATGCCATTACACGTGATGATGTGATCATAACTGCTTACCGTTGTCATGGTTATACTCTGATGCGCGGCACAACAGTTCATCAAGTTCTTGCTGAACTTATGGGTGGATAAATAATTTAACAGAATTAGTTATTATTTATTTTTTTTCTGAATCGATATTTATCATCAAATTATAAATATGTAGGTCGTTCTACTGGCATTACCTATGGAAAAGGCGGATTCATGCACATGTTTGCAAAAAGTTTTTATGGCGGTAATGGTATTGTTGGAGCGCAGGTATATATTTATTTATATTATATATATATATATATATTTAATTATAATTTATTCTTTATTTAATGTGTATAAATATATATATTTTGTAGGTTCTAGTTGGAGCTGGTACTCAAAAATATTTAGGTGTAAAAAATGCTACATTCATTATATATGGCGATGGTGCGGCCAATCAAGGTCAAGTGTTTGAAGCTTTTAATATGGCAAAATTATGGGATTTGCCTGCCATATTTGTTTGTGAGAATAATTTATATGTATGGGAACTGCTGCCGCAAGGAGTTCTGCAAATGCGCAATATTATACTCAGAGTCAGTATATTCCAGGTCTTCGGGTATGTGTTTTAGTATTATATTATCAATTACTAATTATTCTTTATAAACTACCCTATTTGGAATTTAATAATTAAACATTTTATTAATTAATTATCAGATAAATGGTATGGATGTATTAGCAGTAAAGCAAGCATGCGCGTGGGCAAAAGATTGGAATTTGTAACGTATCGATATGGAGATCATTCTATGTCAGATCCTGATCCTGGTACAACTTATCGTACACGTGAAGAAATTCAACACATGAGAAGTACGAATGATCCTATTACTGGTTTGAGATTAAAAATTTTGGAATGCGGAGGAAACCGATCTAAAGGTTTGTTCAAGAATCTTAATTACATGTTATACTTTATGGAATTTAATTTTATTATCATAAATTAATATATATTTTTTTCAGCAATATGAAAAGACGCTCGTGCAATCGTAGACGAGGCAGTAGAAAAAGCAAAGAATGATCCACTTCCAAAGGATTCTGAGCTCTGGACTGATATATACGTCAGGGGATCAGTTAATTTATTTCATTTATAATTTATTAATAGTTTAGCGAACTAATTTATTGTTTAAACTTATAGTAGCTCGCAATATGTGGCATGCTAAATTACAAATACTTAAAGATGAATTGGGTAATATTTCACATTCAAGCTAATTGACATTTTGCAACAC